TATTTCACTGTTTAGAGCAATGGAACTCACTTCATGTACGAGAACACCATTCAGGGGAACGTGGATCCTCATGGAGGTCTAATCAGCCGTCAGAGGAACCTTCATCTGCAGTTCTGCTGTATTTACCCTCTGGCTCAGGCACTGTCAATGGCTGTAGGCATCAACCCTGTGGAGAGGTGATGAAAAAATGATCTGTTCAATTCTACTTTTATATCTTAACTAGTTACAGATTATATATACTTAAATCATTTAACACAGAGTTGTTTATTCAGCCTATCTGATGCATAAATCTGGATGCTCACAATTATTGTTTGTTCTGCAGCATTTTGAGGAAGAAGCTTCCAATTGGGATTGGATCATATCGTATGAGAATGATCCCATACGAGGATGAAGACTTCCACTTCCCACTTAGCACTAACAGAAACATAGAGATGGAAGTTGATGAAATGCTTTATATAGAAGTGAGAACAGAAGGAGTAGATCAGCGCCAGTTTGCCACAGTTCTGGACTCTTGCTGGGCCACGCCAATCAACCAAGCAAACTACCCTATTCGCTGGAATCTCATTATTTCACAGTAATTGAGAAAATCGTATTGTCTTTTATAACTTTAGATTGTTACTTTACTCTCTGCAGGCTGAAATTAATCCTGCATCTGTTTTGTTACTCAGGTGTCCTAATCCAGACGATGGAACAGTAGATGTGATTCAAAACGGTGTCTCCACTGTAGCGCGTTTCTCCTTCAGGATGTTTACCTTTACCAACCACACAGAGATGTACTTGCACTGCAATGTCCACTTGTGTCTCATGAGAAACAACAACTGCACAGCTGTAAGTAGCATTGTGTGTTCAGTGCAGCTATATCATGTACATATTATCCCATTGTACGAATTCACAGACCTTTAATGTTGCTGCTTTGGTTTGTTTCAGCACTGCTATCCAGGACACCACAACCGATTCCAGAGGGACATATCTTACCATGATTCTGCAGCGCTAACGCTTGGACCACTAGTCCTTGGGGCCCAACAGAAGAATGGTAAAACAGTCTCAAACTCTCTTTGCTTTATAATGACAAAGATCATATTGCGACTGATTAATAAATATGTGTCTCTTTTACAGGTGCACTGATCCAAAGAAATGGTGCTTCAGGCTGTCTGACATCAACTGTTACCCTGATTTTCAGCTTACTGATAGCCAGAATCTTAGTGAATTGAGATTAAAAAAAAAAAATTCATACTTTAAGATCTAGTAGAATTTTATTACTTGATTGATTTTTGGTTGGGGGCATTTTCTGGTTTTCTGGTATATACTCGTCATCAGGAAAAAGAAGGAAACATCTATTGATGAATGTAAATCAAATTCTCAGGTGTATTGGTTTACAAGGTGACAAAGTATATTTATCATAACACTTTTTGGTTTATTATCTAAGATTAGAATTTGCATACATAGGGTTCTGGTCCACAACATCTGCGGCACCATTCATTTTTCAGTCCATTTGACGGGTTTATGGAATATTCATTTTTTATTTGTTTTGGGGGATTTTTTGTGTCATTACTTGCTATTATTATCAGAGGGTGCAAACTATTAAGGTAACTGGTATTGTGGGTTTTAAGGTACACATATAAAGCACTAATTAATGTTTCCAGGGATGATCTCAAAGTGTTAAAATTAACTAAATAAGATTGAATTAATATCTGTATTCTGTTTAAGAATGTTTTTGGATGTGGGGAGATGTATGTAATTGATTATTACAGACATTAATAAATATACTGAAATGCATTCTGTTTCTGGCTTTTCAATTATTTGCTGGTGATATGGTAGGGAGTGGAGGCCTAGTGGTTAGGGCATAGAGCCTGGAATCCTATGGTTCTGAGTTTGAGCCCCACTCCCACGCACTGCCACTCTGGTTCTCTGAGCAACACCCTTAACCCCACACTGCTCCCTGGGTGCCTCACGATGGCAGCCCACTGCTTCCCCAGAGGATGGGTTAAATATAGAGGTACATTTTTCCAATGTGAGATCAATAAATTTCAATTATTGTTATTATTATTGTTAAATACACTCATTATCAGAATAGAACAAAATAATAACTTAAGTTCACTTAATTATAACTTAAGGATAACGTAAGATTATCAACCATCTGTTGTTCTGAAAAACAACATCTTGTAGAATTCTGTGAAATATTTCTTTCTGCTAAACTGTAAAAGGATAAACACAGAAAGACGATACGTGACATTGTCTTAATGCTGAATGTGTTTTCTGCAGCAACAATTTGTTTCTACAAATAAAGATACCTGCAGTAGTTACTCTTATGTGCCATTAACACATCTTATAATTGTTTTATTGATTATGCTTTAGCAGAGAAGAAAACAACATAGGCCAAGCTATGGAGTTGTGGTGGCTAAAAACTTGCTGTGCTTCTTTTTTAATTTCTTCTACTGTATAACATAACTAAGAACAGCCACTAGAGAGCACATCCGAGCAAGGAATAAAACAACATTGATTCAAGCTGCAGGGAAGTCAGGGAACATAAAAAGCACCTTTAAGTAGCAGGACTAGCCGTAGTCCTGTACACAATATGAAAACAAAGGGAGAAGCACATTGCAAGACAATAAAAAGGAAGATGAAAACAATAATAAAATGAAAGAAGGTTGGAGAACAAACCAGAAAAAAGAAGACTGAAGTGAAGTGGCTGGGTAGAAGGACGTCTGGGCCTCCCTACTGAAGATGCTGCCCCCCCCGACCTGACCGCAGATAAGCGGAAGAGGTTGGATGGATGGATGTTTTTAAAAGAACTTGACTGACCTTGTTTTACTCTTTTAAGGTTTTTGTGAAAGTTTTCAGTTCTTTTTTTTATTTGTTACTGCAGCCCATGACTGTGTTAACAGCAGCTTGAGATTTTAAAGAGTGCTACCATATTTTTGTTTTGAATTTTTTTTTGTGTGTGTGTGTGTTTTGGAGTGAATGTGTGATGAATGTACGTGAGCGCTCACATTGAAAGACTGATATCTCTGTGTTTCTATAATTTGAAATGGAAGAACCGATTTGTATTTTTCTTGAGTCTTTGTTACATTAAAAATAGTTCTAACATTTTGAAATGGGAATACACACCTGTTAGTGTGATGGATTTAAAATTTGACTATGAAGTAGTAAAATGATTGGGTTTTACACAATAAAATTAAAAGCATTTAGATATTTAATACAGGTGGGACATTAACTAATTTGATTGATTCAAAGTTCTCTCTTTTAAAGATATCAACAGGTGGTGTAAGGTTTGAATAATGCATTTTTAAATTTTGTGGGATTTTTCTGAAATCTTCTGACTTACGAATGGGACTAATGATTGTTCTAATAAGTCAAACGTTTGGCGCTAAAATCTGATTTGGCATAACATTATAATTTAAATCTTTTGTAGACTTGAAAGGGGTATTAACTCAGATGTGTCAAACACAATGATCTTAAGGGGAGAACCATACAGGGTACAAATTTTGCTCTGTCCTCTTTACCATTATTATAATTGATTTCTTGTATAATTCCCACCTGTCTGCTATAGAAAGCCTCAAATGACTGTGACTGTTGGCTTAATCTTGGAAGGGAATGGAAGAGAATACAGGGAGGTGACACAGAACTTTGTAGACTGTTGCCATTGAATCTGTCTCCAAATAACTGCAGGAAGAACCGAGGATTTGAGGAACACTGAGCACATCCATACCTGTGCTTTCAGAGCAGATCTTATTATAAAAGGGGAAGATATTACATCCAATCTGAGTTCTAACAGCAAATGCCCAGTCCCCTCTGCTTTTTAACTCTGGTTTTGGGCAAATGTCAGAACAGTTTATTATTTGACTGAAGGGTTCTGGAGATGGAACGTTTGTGCAGAAGATTCTGAAGCTAGGCCACAACTTTGTCATTTATATAACTTGAAAAACTAACAGAAGAATTTTAAAATCTACAAATAAAGACACAGGAAGGCAATGAAGACAAGGTTAAACTGAGGTTATAAGCTCATGTTTCCGGGTTCCCACTTAAGAGTCAAACTGCAGCTGTTTTGAATGATTTGAACTATTTGAATTTGAAAAATCCATCTCTCTTCTGGAGGAGTAATTTTTCCCACAAGATATTAAAGTTATCAATAAAGCCAAGTGATCTTACAGAGCAGACTTGTTTGATAAGTTTATTCAGGGAAAAGACTGCTGCAGACTATATCTAATGCCAAAGAAGGTCCCACAGCCCCACTAAAAGACACTTACCCTGCATTGCCCATAGACTGCCAGAGATAGGGACCGGTCTCACAGCAACCCTGATGAATTACCGAGAGAAAATGCATCAATGGATATATACCATGTCAACATGTAGACATCAGTGTAAAGTCTTGAGAATAAAAAAAAAAGAAAAAAGAAAACTGGTGTATTTACAGATATAAAATAACATTATATTCCAACACTATGTTGTTCATTATTAATTGGATTGAGATTGACAGTGTATGTCAGAGCTCAGAGTGGTTATAGCCTTTGGAAAAAAAAAACTTTCTCTCTGTTTGTCCTAATGCTCCTGTAGTGCCTTCCTAAGGGCAGCAGATCAATCAGAGCAGAGCCAGAACAGAGTGGGGACGGCAGCTGGTATTCTTCAATGCTGCCTTAAAAAAATTCTGCAGCCTCTTCCTATCAGTAGCAGTGCAGTTACCATATCTTACTGTGATGAAAGATGTCCCACACTCTTGATCAATGAACTTTAGAAGGTCAGTAACAGGTTGAGGTTAAGGTTTTGCTTCCTCAGGACTCTAAGGAAGTGTTTCCACTGCTGTGCCTTTTTAATGATGAGGAAAATGTTGAACAAAAGGTTTATGTTCCAGCACCAAAGAAATTGGATTGTATTTACGGTACTTATTTACTACCATTAGTAATTTCAACTTTATGTCACATGATTTTTTTTTGTAGGTGAAGTGACAGCTCAGACTTCAGGTAAGCTATACAGTGTGCATGTATAGTCAGAGGGGGTTATTGCTCAAGGCTCAAGACTTATAAAGACAAAATGTATCTTTTTTTTTGTTGAAACAAGGCATAGCTTCTTGAATTGATACATTCCAAGACAATTTGGTATCATAAGTGGGATCCAGCAAGCTGGCATGCAGGGGAGATGGGTGCCTGGCCAGCCTAATGACAGACTAAACTTTAATCTAGAACTAGAACAGAACTAGAACTAGGACCACAGCCGGAAGATCCAAAATCTCTTCCACATCCCTAGCAACACCAGGAAGACGTGACAAGGCTTACGGGCGATCACAGACAACAACACACCCTCCTCCCCAGTGGGCGCAGCTATGCTTACTTCCTACATGGACTAAAAAAACTTCTTTGGAAGGTCTGAGGCATTAAACAGTGCTACAGCTGTGAAAGGGAGATGAGGATCTCTGCCATGACATAGCTGATGTGTGGAAGACTCTGAGGAGAGTCAACCCAAGAAAGGCCCCAGGCAACGATAACATACCTGGGCTGGTGTATAAGGAGTGTGCAGATCAGCTGGCTGGTGTCCTTACAAACATTTTTAACACCTTGCTGGACCAATCCACAGTGCTAGCATGCTTTCATTCTGCCACCATCATTCCAGTACCACAAAGGTATCAGGTCACCTCATTCAACGACTACCAGCCAGTCGCACTGCTGCTACCATGATGAAGTACTTCAAAAGGCGGGTTGAAGAACAAATCGTCTTCAGTCTCCCCCCAACGTTCAACCTGTCCCAGTTTGCCTACCGACGGAACCACTCCACTGAAGATGCCATGTCCTCTGCTCTTCAGTTGGCCACACCTGGAGGAGAAGAACACCCATGTGTGGATGCTGTTCCTGAACTTCAGCTCAGCTTTCAACACCATCATCCCACAACATATGATAGGTAAACTGGAACAGCTGGGCCTCAATACACCCCTCTGCAATTGGCTGCTATCACAGGCTCCTGTCAGCGCTGCGTCCTGAGCCCTCTGTTGTTCACCCTGATGACACACGACTGCACCCCCAGGTTCACCACCAAACACATGGTGAAGTTTGCAGGCAATACCACGTTGGTGGGCCTCATTAGAGACGACAATGACCAGGACTACTGAGAGGAGGTGGAGCAGCTGGTGGACTGATGCAGATATAACAGCCTGATCCTGAACGTGGAGAAGAGGAAGGAGATAATTGTCAACTTTAGGAAGACCCGGCCTAACCACGATCCACTGA